TGCTGAACCTTGACACCATATACAGAGAAGGGAGTTCAGAACTTTTTCTCAGATCTTAATGTATAATGGACAATTTAATAGAACATGAGTGTGGTGGGAATGTGTCTACACGTCTCTATAAGTGTGTGCAAGCCACCCACCCATAGTTCGTATGCACTAGGTATAGCCTCTTACCAAAGGCTAAACGTGTGTGTGAGAACTGTCAGCGCTGGTGAAAGCACTTTGACAAGGTTATTCAAAATAAAACTCTTCTTTATTAAGGTTAGTCAAGGTTAAAACTAGGCAACCAGCCAGCAAGGCACTGGGCTGACTGTCAAAATAATACAGCTCTATTTCCTACAGAGAAAGCTAAGAAAGCACATAGATAAACGAACAGAGTTTCCCCCCCAAAGCATGCAACTGAAGGCCTTCTGGGTTTAACTGTAAGGCTCAGGAGAGACAACGCCTCTTCTTGATTCCAAGAGAGTCAGTGAAGGTCTGCTGAGAGTGACCAGAATTTATACAGAATGATCAAAGGGGTTTCCATTTGTAAATTTACATCAATCAACATTTGATGTTGAGATCATTGACAGGAAATTGCTTCTCACAGTCCAAACGTTACATTTCTGAGAGTATTCTAAGTCTCCATTTATCCATTGTTCTTGCCATTCTGTTGGTGCTTTTTCACCTTTGTCCAATACCGCGTTCCAACCGGAGATTTACTTCGGACAACCTGGCTTCTCTTCTCTTTGGGATTAAAGTTGGCTTCAGCTCCTTCCGCCTGTAGATCCTCTTCTTTTCTCTCCCCTTCCTCCTCTTCTTCTTCTTCTTCCTCTTCTTCCATTCCAAGTTCTCCCCCCTATTTTCCTAGAAAATCTTCCGCTTTAAAAATAGATGTAATCCAGTATTTTTTCCCTTGATAGGTAAAGTCCATGCCCTCTGGAAATAACCATCTGTATTGAATGTCATTTTTCTTCAGCAACCATGTTAATTTAGCATATTCTCTTCTTTTTTCCCTAACCCTACAGGGAATTTCCTTCAGGACTTTTATTTCGGTTTCAAAGGAAACAAAGGTTTGAGAACCTGAAGAAACAAATAAATTTACAAGAGAATATTATGATGTCTAAAGTAAATAATGATGGAGCAAAAAGAAGACTAAAAATGTTACAACATCAGATGAATTGTTTATTGAAAGACGAGATAGCAAAGAAATTATACTTTGCAAAACAAAACTTTTTTGAAAATGCTAACAAACCCACTAGATGGCTAGCCTATAAAATTAGTTAACAGAAGGAAAGAACTTTTATTAAAGTCTTGAGAAAAAATGGGAAGGAAATCTATAGAAATGAAGAAATCAAGAAAGCTATGGAGGAATATTATAAAACGCTATACGGGAAAACGACAGTGAGCACGGATAAAATCCAAAGTTATTTGGAAAAATATAAATTGCAAAAACTTACAGAAGGACAAAGAAAAATATTAAACCAACAAATTTCAATGATGGAAGTGGTCGAGGCAATTCCTACAGTAAACTTACCCATCTCAGTAGGGTTGCTGCTAGGTCATCCATGGCCACTGTTGGGGGTGGGGGTGGGGTGGTAGGGCTGCTAGATCCAGGTTGGGGAACCCTGGAGATTTGGGGAGGGCAGGGGGGCCTCAGTGGGGCACAGTGCCCTAGAGCCCACCTTCCAAAGCCTCCATTTTCTCCAGGGGGACTGACCTCTGTCGTCTGGAGATGAGCTGTAATTCCAGGGGATCCCCAGGTCCCACCTGGAGGCTGGCAGCCCTAACTTTCAGTCACCTCTTGAAAGATTCCAGTTTTTTGCTCCATACACACACATGTAAGTGAATTCCCCACTGCAGCTCACGTTGTTTTGTTTGTGTGGTAAACACCATGCCCCTCTTGACCTAGATGGGATCCTTCTTATCACCTACTTCATGTTACTTATTAGAAGTAAAAAGTGAATAGGGGGGTCAGGGAATTCGTTTGGGCAAGAAAGGCCTTGGATACCCTGAAATATGGATGATGCTTCCACGATATCATAGGGGCTACACAAATGGATTGGAAGAAGAAGAGGAGGAAGAGGAAGAAGAGGAGGAAGAAGAAGAGGAGGAGGAGGAGGAGATTGGATTTAGAGATTTGGGAGGAGGAGACCAAAGACCTACTAAATCCATTGTTCAAACCCCACCATGTTTTGGCCCCTTCTTTCTATCCAATAGAATCTGATTTGAGCCTCACCTGCCTCTGGGGACCGGATGAAGCTGATGAGCTCCTGGCAGAGGATATAGTGAAGGCACAGGTTGGTTTTGCAGAAGTAGGGTAGCCGATGTTTCTCCATCCAAGTCAGTAAGCCTTTGGGCTTTGAGACCTGCATTGTCGCCCCCCCGGGAAAAAAAAACGGTTGATGAGACTTGAAGAAACAATCAAAGTCAATTATCCTTAAGGGGAATGCATGGGATCTGTAAAATCTTTGCTGTCTTGGAATTTAAAGCCTAGAGGGAACTTCTTAATTTATCATGTTCTTTACAAGGTGAAGAGAAACTGCTGAAGAGGCAGTGGCATTGCCAGCAGGATGGCTAGGAGTACATTTTGTACCACTTTCACCTTTTAATTCCCAAATTATGAACCAAGTAAACTCAAGGGCAAAAGGAGGAGAGGGAAAGTTTTGATAGAGGTGGGTGACATCAAGTCACAGCTGGCTCATGGCTACCTCGTAGGGTTTTCAAGGCAAGAGACATTTGGAGGTGATTTGCCATTGCTTGCCCCCACAACATGACCCTGGTATTCCTTGGACATCTCCCATCCAAATACTCTACACCGCATGCCACTTTCGCTTTCTTTGATCATTGGGTTCTATGGTACCTTGTGCATAGATTTATGGCTGTTCAGGGGTGACTTCGCAGTCAGTACAGCGTTGCCCCGGGGTATCTGAATGGGGTTTTGAGCGGCACCTTTTCCTTCCTCTGCTTCTGATTCCAAGGGAACAATAAGCAGAAAACTTGACACAGCTGCACTGATCTCCATCAGTTCCTCCACCCCTATTTCCCCCTCTGTATTTATCACCTCGCCATGAATTACTTGGCTCAGGCGGCTAATGACCATGGAGGCAAGTACTGACACAGGAAAATCTGCATACCAATGATCAGAGGCAATGCAATGAACACAGATATTCCGAAGAAGGGGGAACCAGGTCGAGTACTAATAAAATGTGGAGCGAATGCCAGATGCAGAATGGACCAGAGATTGAGTAAAAAATGTGGGGAAAGGATGGGGAAACTTTGACTCTTCCAGCACTCCTTGGTGTCTGGATACTGGGCAGATCTTCCTTATTGATGCACAGGTTGGGTTCCCACTCCACAGAGAGAAGCAACTAAAGACTGATTCATATAACTGCTTCATCCCGTCACGGCTCAGCATACACAGGGGTGGTTGCAAGGCTGTTTTTGCAATGCATGGGGGGGGGTCAGAATATTCTGAAGGGAATGCAGTTGGTTCAGGAGTCTGCAAAGCTCAGCCCAGCTCCCACATGCACCAAGGATGCTTGTCTGAGTCGTCAGCCAGGGCTCAATAAACAACAACTGGAGCTGTCCTGGGAAGGCAAAGCCTTAGGCTGCCTCCACAGTGCATCTACCAAGTCACAAACACACTTTATTTATCTATTTATTTATTTACATTTACGAATTGCCTAATCCCCACAGATGTGGGGCTCTCAGCAATGGACAATTCTAAAACAATTAAAACCATAAAGCCATATCCAATATATTATACACAGCGGTATACTATAACAAGTGGCGAATTTGTATTTTGTAGTTCCCTCCCGTTCCTGGACTGTGAGTGCTTCCAGGGCACGGGGAGGGAATAACTCACAAGGGAGAGGAGAGTCAGGTAGGTAGGGCAGGGTGCCGGCCGTGATGCAAACCATCGCTGTCCTCCACCAAACGCCTGGTGGAACATCTCTGCCTTACAGGCCTCACAGGGCCCGGATGTCATTCAACAGAGAGTCCCACCAGGTCGAGAAGGCCCCGGCCCTGGCTGAGGACAGCCGGATCTGTAAGCCATTCTGTGAAGAGCGTAATGCCCTCCCGGGGGTATAGGACAGATCCCCAGTCAGACCACTGGTCTACCAAATTCACTATTCTGATTGGCAGCACCTCTCCAGGGTCTCAGGCAGAACAGTTTCACACCACCTAACTGTGTGCAAAGTGGCATCAAGTTTGCAGCCGGCTGCCCTGATCTGGATAGGCCAAGTGACCTCGTCGGATCTCAGAAGCTGAGCAGGGCCAACGCTGGCAAAGTACTTGGATGGGAGACCTGCTTGGAATACCAGAGGTGGGAGGCGGAGGCAGGCTTGAGCACACAATGTCAGGTAGCCCTGTCATGAATCTGCAATGTGGAGGGGTGCCCTCCAATGTTCCCTCTAAGGTGTGGAGTCTTGTGAGCAAAAATTCTACTTTGCGAGCTTCTGGCATTAAAGTTGTGAGCGAGCAATTTGGCTACTGCATACATTAGTTTGCTCTGGAGCCCTCCTTCCTGAGCGAAGACAAAAATGTGTGAGCCGGGGGCTAAAAAACTGTGAGCTAGCTCACAGTAACTCAGCTTAGAGGGAACACTGGTGCCCTCCTCCTCGTTCTAAGTTCTTCCCTGTCCAGCTACTGTGCGCTATCTCAGGCTTGACCTTGTAGTCTCCAGCTGTAATTTACTCGGCTGGGAAAGTACCGGCTTTTCGCTTGCTTGCTTGCTTTTGCCCGCGTGTGGGAACTATAATCATTGGCTTCCGCTCATTGGGGGGGATGTTTGATTTCACTATGTCAGAGGCCCTTATACTGAAGGCCATTCCTGACACAAGCTGTATACGTGTTATTTAGTACTGGAATCACTAATAAAGCAGTTATCTTCTTCTGAAGCCCTGTGTGGTGTGACCTGCCTAAGGACCCTCACACACACACACACACACACACGAAAAATACAAACCCCCGCCCAAAAAAAAGGTCAGCAGCTGACTTATGGTGACCCCACTGAGTTTTCAAGTCAAGAGTTGGTTTGCCCAACAGCCTGCCTCTGAGTTGGAACCCAGGACTCTCCTGGCGGTCTCCCATCCAAATACTAATCAGGACCGACCCTGCTTAGCCTTCCGAGATCTGTCAATATTGGGCTAGCCTGGGGCCACATCATCTACTACCTGATGTTTCTAACTGGAGGTGACAGGGATTGAACCAGGGACATGACTGCACACAAACCAGAGGCCTTAACACTGAGCCACTGCCCCTCCCAAAGTCCGCAGCTCTTTTTCCAGACACACTGATGAGAAATGTCACCTTAATAAAACACTGGAAGAGCATGAGAGGTTCCAGCCATCCAGTGTCCCAGAAGCATGACAAAAATGAGAATGGAGACTACTCCAAATTCCACGTATGAAGACTGATTGCTAACGGTGTAAGCGCAGTTACAAAGCATAACCCATTTGGTCAAACTGAACCTACTTGGCAAAGTGTCAGACACCAAAATGGTTGTGTGAGCTAACCCAAGATTTAATATTTTGCTGCAGTGAAGTCAGACTGCTTTGCAGAGGCTTTGACATTGGAAGACACTTTCCCAATGATTTTGGCAATGGTCTTCAGATCTTTTAAAAACTGATTACTTCAGGTTTGATAAACGGCCACATATTAGAAGGTTAATATTTATCTGTGTCGTACTCCAGGGACTTTAAGTGGAGTCTCCCATCACTATGTGCAAAGGTGCCAGCGCTGGGAAATCCTGAAACTCACATGGTTGCACGGTAATTCGGGCCAAAGATACCACTGGCGAGTCCTGAACATGAAAAGGGGCGTCTGACCAAACACCTGCGGAGAAAGAGAGAGAGAGAGAGAGAGAAAATCTGTTTAATAAAGACGGGCCATCACTAGGTTCTATGGGGTGTGGTTATGCAGCATCGCACAGCACAACAGAACAAGGCTGGAGATAGGGTTAGGCCCTGTCTGCAACCATGTTCTGCCTCGGTCCCTGAGCACATCCTATTCGTCCATTCTGCATTCCCTCCTGATTTTACTTTCACTTTGTTTCAGGGCTTTCTCTTGTTTGGTGTAGTGGTTAAGTGTGCGGACTCTAATCTGGGAGAACCGGGTTTGATTCCCCACTCCTCCACTTGCACCTGCTGATGTGACCTTGGGTCAGTCACAAGCTCTGGCACAGCTGTCCTTGAAAAAGAGCAGTTTGTGTCAGAGTTCTCTCAGCCCCACCCACCTCACAGGGTGTCTGTTGTGGGGAGGGGAAGGGAAAGGAGTTTGTAAGCCGCGGGGTATAAATCCAATCTCGTCTCTTCTTCTTCTGCATTTGTCTTCCAGGAATCTGCATTCAGACTGCTTCCAGTACACTGTTTCCCCCACAGATACCAAAACTCCTTTTGCAGCGATTTTTTGTTCTCATCCACTTTCCAACCGCTAATCCTTTCTAAACTGGAATTATTTCTGCGGGTATTTAAGTACTG